CCCAGAGGGGTCAGCCAGGGAGACTGCAACCGGCCGACCAAGCGGCGTGAGTGTGGTGCGGTCTCGAAAGAAGGAGCGAGAGGCCCCTGAGTCAAGTGTGAAGGTGAGGGGGGCCGAAGCCGACGCAGTACCTGAGAGCGCAGCCTCACCAGTACTTGAGAGCGCAGACGCACTGGCACCTAGAGCAGCAGCCTCACAAGCACGTAGCGCAGCAGTACCAATGCCCGGGTCGGGCGGGAAACACCGGTAACAGTCACCCTCATCACTAATAGTCACAGCATACATGGCAGCAAGGATAGCATCAAAGTCGAGATCATAGATAGCTACACCTGCCCTAGACAGCTCTCCCCAGCGGGGGATCTCACTAGCCTCGGGGAACTGCTGACGCCAAGCGTCCGTCAGGCGGCCAAAGCAGCGCTGGGTGGGGTGGGCACCCCCACACTGCTCACCCGCGCGGTCGCCGTAACGAAGAACGTAGGTGCACGGTCCAAAGCCCCCACCACGCTGGCGCTGCGTGTACCACTCACGGAGCTGCTGAGGCGGGGGGAAGTCCCGAGAACGCTGCTGCTGCTGCTGCTGGCGCTGACCACCACCAGAGCCGCTCCGCTGCAAGGCACCACCTCGACCAGCTCCACTCCCTCCGCCACCGCCGCCTCCACCTCCGCCACCACCTCCGCCTCCGCCTCCGCCACCACCGCCGCTTCCGCTCCCTCCGCTGCCGCCGCCACCGCCTCCGCCCCCGCTGCCGCCACCACCACTACCACCACTCCCACCGCCACCCCCACTCCCTCCGCCGCCTCCACCGCCACCACCGCCCCCGCCAGCTCCACCCGCGCCCTTGCCCCCCTTGCCCTTGCCAGGGTGGCGTCTCCCGCTAGGGGCGGACGCGGCGCCGACCGACTCAAGACCAAGCAGGTCGGCAGCAGCAGCAGAGGCAACAGAGGGCAGCAGGGGGGAAGGAGAACACCCCTCAAAGATGGGGGTGCGAGGGTCACCACGAGAGGCTCCTACAGCGACGATACCCTTCTCCACCGACAGGAGGGCCTTCTCGAGGAGGTCGACAGTGAGGGTGGTGGGACAGACTGAGAGGAAGTGGTCCCTGACTACACGAAGGGAGTCAGGGAGGCGTGTGACTATGTAATAGAGAGTGATGTACATGGGGGGGGGGGTTCTTAGCGCAGAACTCAGCAGGAAGTGCGGCGCGGTAGCCAGTGTCAGAAGTGCGAAGGTGTGTGATGAGGTCAGCGACTGTAGGAAAGGCAGTAAGGTCAGGAAAGAGGTACGGTAGCATGAGACGGCTCAGTGCAGCAGTGGCAGGGGAGGAGTAGCGCGACACTACAGCGTTGTACAAGGTCTGAGCACTCTTGTACTGACTAAAGTGCGCGCGCTCAGTGGTAGGGAGGTGGCGACGCACAGCAAGACGTGCAGCAGCATCGCGGGTGGCCCACTGAGAGCGAACAGTGGGGTCAGCATCAGCAGGAGGGGCAGGAGAGGGGCCAGAGGTGAGGTCAAAGAGAGAAAGACCGTCCGCCCTATCGCACTGTAAAAACAGCTGCAGGTCATCGACCCATACCTCAAAGTCAATGGCTCGACCCTCAGCGTCAAAAGCGAGGACACTAGGGGTAGCCATGACGACAGACTAGCAGTGCAAGCAGTGGGGAAAGGGCACGCAGTAGTAGTGGGGCCGTGCTCACCAGACAGGGCAGGTCGGGCGGCTCGGCAGTAGGGCGGCTCGGCTGCGGGGCGGCTCGGCGGCTGGGCGGCTCGGCTGCTGGGCGGCTCGGGAGTACTGCGGCTCGGCGGCCCGGCGGCTCGGCGGCTGTTGTTGGGCGGCTCGGCTGCTCCGGTACCGGGCGGCGTGGCGGTCGGCTGCTCGGGCGGCGGGGCCGCGACGTGAGGGCGGCGGGGCCGCGTAGGTGAGGCAGCGGGGCCGCGACGTGAGGGCGGCGGGGCCGCGTAGATGAGGGCGGCGGGGCCGCGACGTGAGGCCGGCGGGGCCGCGTAGGTGAGGTGGCGGGGCCGCGACGTGAGGGCGGCGGGGCTGCGTAGGTGAGGGCGGCGGGGCCGCGACGTGAGGGCGGCGGGGCTGCGTAGGTGAGGGCAGCGGGGCCGCGACGTGAGGGCGGCGGGGCCGCGACGTGGGGCGGCGGGGCTGCGAAGTGAGGGCGGCGGGGCCGCGTAGATGAGGGCGGCGGGGCCGCGTAGGTGAGGGTGGCGGGGCCGCGACGTGAGGGCGGCGGGGCCGCGTAGGTGAGGCGGCGGGGCCGCGACGTGAGGGCAGCGGGGCCGCGCAGGTGAGGGCGGCGGGGCCGCGACGTGAGGGCGGCGGGGCCGCGTAGGTGAGGGCGGCGGGGCCGCTAAGGGAGTGAAGGCCGCGGGGGCGGCTCGTCGAAGTAAAGGCCCGAGGCGCGACTCGAGATGAGCGCGCTTCGGGCAGTAAAAAAAAAGTTGAAGTGGTGGGCCCTAGGCGCAGTTCCCACAGGGGAACCTGCTCGATACCATGAGAAAGACTGAACGAGAATGAATCAACTATGAATGAAGTGAGTACATATAGGAAACCCTAATTGGGTTGTACCCCCTATGGGATACCCCACTATAGCCTACACAACAGCATAAGCTATAATGTTCTGACATCTTCGAAACAACTATTCAACTTGAAGTATTCGATACACAATTTTGAGCGTGAGTTGGATTAGGGTTTGGTTTCATTCCTTCCTCTTTCTTCCTCTCGTCGTTCTGTTTGGCTCCTGCTACTCACCCTCAGCCTACCAAGGTCAGAGACTAAAGCCGCCAGCTAGAACCTAATTAGCAGATTAATGTCTCAGCCTAAACATCTACTTATCATCTCGAAGTACTATTCAAGTCATTGATAAACCCGCATCATTTCTTTCTTGTTGATTATCTCGTTTTGAAGCATTTTTCGACCTAGCAGGACATCGTTCTCATTCGTTTGTTCTCAAGGGCCGCAACTCATACTCCTACGTCGTTTTGAAAGATTGCGACCCATTTCGGCTCAAATGCTAATAAGGTCTCCATTTTTTTATCTAGTACATAGGTTCATTTTGAAGCCATAATCGGTTGAAGTCTATTGTAGCTGTTTGATTTGCTTCTATATCCCACCATCTGCTTCCAGGAACGGTCAAGCACATTGTTGCCCCACTCCCTCCTCTTATTAACAGTGAGCTTGTGTTTGACCATCATCTTGGGAAAGAGAGAGGGGGAGAGCAGGTGAGAACAGTAGAGTAGCGATAGAGAAAGCGAGAACGAAAGCGTGCTAGAGAACGAAAGAAAAGCTTCTGTTTGTTTGTTAGAATCTGCAGGGGCCTTGTAATCTTCATTTTGGTTTCATCTAAACTACCGTTTTTTTTAGTTCATGTAGTTTTCTCCCGTCCACTTTCTATGGCTCTTCCTTACCCTTTCTTTATAGGCAGCAGCAGATTAGTATGTGGTTTGTAAGTCGTATGTACTTGATTCCAACTTTATTCACTGATGTTCAAGTGTGTATCTGCTGATTCTTACAAATTCGTTTTTCCGTTTGTTCTTTCTCGTTCTCACTCTCTCGTTCTCTCTCGTTCTCTCTCGTTCTCTCTCTCTCGCTCGTTCTCTATCTCTCTCTCGTTCTCTTTCTCTCTCCTCTCTCTCGTTCTCTCTCTCTCTCTCTCTCTCTCTCTCTCTCTCTCTCTCTCTCTCGTTCTCTTGTTCTCTCTCTCTCTCTCTCTCGTTCTCTCTCTCTCTCTCTCTCTCTCTCTCTCTCTCTCTCTCTCTCTCTCTCTCTCTCTCTCTCTCTCACTCTCTCTCTCTCTCTCTCTCTCGTTTCCTCTCTCTCGTTCTCTCTTTCTCTCTCGTTCTCTCTCTCGTTCTCTATCTCGTTCTATCTCTCTCGTTCTCTCTTTCTCTCTCTCGTTCGTTCTCTCTCTCTCTCTCTCTCTCTCTCTCTCTCTCTCTCTCTCTCTCTCTCTCGTTCTCTCTCTCCCGTTTCCTCTCTCTCTCTCTCTCTCTCTCTCGTTCTCTCTCTCGTTCTCTCTCTTGTTCTCTCTCTCTCGTAATTTCATTATGCCTTGTTATTTCCCATTTGCCTTCCCTTCCTCAACCCAGCTTTGTCTTACTTTCCAGGCAGTCGAGCTCAATATGAGAAGTAGACTGATATTGCTTATGACTTCCAGTATAGGATACATAATGTCTTGGTGATTTAGGTTTCTATTTCATCTGCGGTTAATATGCTTTGTCAGTTGGCTTCGTGCGTGCGTGTATGTGTGAATGTGTATGATCATGTGTATGTGTTGTGTTGTGTGTGTATGCGTTTCCATTCATGTTTCCACTGCATTAACAACACATGTCTGTGGGTTTTAAAAATTGGGATCAAACTATCATTTCCGAGAAGGTTCTTTGCGCACTCAGTGAGTGTGTCCATTCGAGCTGGATTTGATAGAATTGACCCATTTTTTATATCACACAGATTGTGTTGTTTCATGTAACAGTTGGATGATTCATAAATTATGCTATTGAGCTCCCCCCCATGCTAGGCAGGGGATGCGGTAGCATAGGGTCTGCGTCAATTAACTGTTACACATTTCCATCATGCTATGCATTTATTTCATTACCGGTAGTATATGCATTATACTTATGCATTTGCATTTACTTCATCTACGCATAACATCATCAGACATGTGCATCACAGAATAAACAGTTACGCCTTCACAGTACATCATTTTGGCAACTCATGAAATATAGGTTCAGTCAAAGTAAATTAGGAAATGAGAAGGAATGTGGTTCAGCACATGGTGAATTGACGCGGCAAATACATAGCAGTCAGTCACTTAGCTAGTACCGTCCACTATATTTTTTCCATCCTCTATTTTTTTAAGTATAGAGGATTGAAAAAAAAATTGTACATAACGATTGTAATAGGTTGCTTTGCAACCCCAAAAAAAAAAAAAAAAAAAAAATCAGAGGGAGGACTGAGGATGAAAGGACCGGGAACACCAAATAACCACGGTAACTCAGATTACAACCCGGGCTCGCGCACCAATCCGCGCTCGTGCACCAACTCGTGCTTGCACTCGTGCACCTGTCACCGAAGGCGACGGCGGGGAGGAGGAAGAGGCGACGGGGGGGAGGAGGGAGAGGCGATGGCGGGGAGGAGGGAGCGGCAACGGCGGGGAGGAGGGAGAGGCAACCGCGTGGAGGGAGAGGGGACGGCGGGGAGGAGGGAGAGGCGACGGCGGGGAGGAAGGAGCAGCGATGGCGGGGAGGATGGAGCGGCGACGGCGGGGAGGATGGAGCGGCGACGGCAGGGAGGAGGGAGAGGCGACGGCGGGGAATAGGGAGAGGCGACGACGGGGAGGAGGGAGAGGCAACGGCGGGGAGGAGGTAGAGGCAACGGCAGGGAGGAGGGAGAGGCGACGGCGGGGAGGAGGGAGAGGCGATGGCGGGGAGGGGGGAGAGGCGACGGGGGGGAGGAGGGAGAGGCGACGGCGGGGAGGAGGGAGAGCCGACGGCGGGGAGCAGGGAGAGGCAACGGCGGGGAGGAGGGAAAGGCAACGGCGGGGAGGAGGGAGAGGCGACGGTGGGGAGGAGGGAGATGCGACGACAGGGAGGAGGGAGAGGCGACGATGGGGAGGAGGGAGAGGCGACGACGGGGAGGAGGGAGAGGCGACGACGGGGAAGTAAGGAAGAGGAGATCGCGGGGTGGGTTTTAGTGACTGTGAGGTGAATAGGAGAGGTGAAGGCGGGTAGTGAGGGAGAGGATACGGCGGGATGGGCGAGACAACGGCTGGGTGGAACTGGCGAGAAATTGGGGTGGGGGGAAGGAAGAGGACTAAGAGCAAGCAGGTGTGCTTGTCGAGTCGAGAGGAACCAGAACAAAAGAACCAAGAAAAGAGCGCAGAAATCGACATGAGAGCTGTCAAAGGGACGGATATCAGCCATAATAAAAATTCTACCAGCGCAGAATGGGAATTTCTGCCTGCGCGGAACAAGACAATTTCTGCCACCGCAGAACGATTCAATTTTTGCCAGCGCAGAACGAAGCACCATATACAGTATCCTGTTTTAAGTTAAAATGAACAACTTAATTAATTGCTTCATTAAGCAAAATATGATTATATTGTACTCTTTCATAATGTTCCTTACACACGGAATACATCTCTGCGCAACCCTTCCAACATCAACGTCGAGTCTTGTTTTTGTAGCGCACCCTCACACTCATATACTCAACCTTGGAGTTGAGGTGCTCGCACGATACCGTACCATTACGCCTTTTTTGTTTCTGCTGGTAATCCGTAGGTGTAGTGTGATGAGAAATTACATAAACTAGTATTGTCTCTTCTTACCCCCACTTGCTCTATTTGTCGTATAATTCGCATGCATTGTACCAGCGTGAATTGAAGACCATCGCATCGCGAGTCCCTCCTAACCAGCAGCAGTCGCGTTGTGTCAGAGCAGCAGAGTTTGTTAGTTTTTGTTGGAATAACCGAAAGGTAATATAAAGCATTCCCAAAGCTGTTCCACTGCACCAGTACCGCAATAGCTCATTTAGAGCATGCGGAATGTCGAGGGTCACCCGAAGGTCAACCGTCTGAGGAAGTCAACGGTCGTGACCCTTCACAATCCTGTAAACGCGCAATAGTTAATTCACTGCAACATGGTAACTGTCCAGCATAGCAATAGTCACGGTCACTGTAGCTATGCAATATAGTTAATAAGGGAATGTACCCCTCAGAGTACATGGCTAGCTAGCTTTCTATTTAATCTCTTGTACTCCAATCTTTCAATTATCTTGTTCTCTTTCAATTATTATTCAACAAGGTCACTACAGAGACTTCATTGTTTCCTCTCAGACTTAACAGATTCTATCCTATCCACTGAATCCTTCGTTACATCAGCATGGTGTGAGAGCGAGAGTGGATGATACGATCTGTCAAGTTCTCGTTCTTCTCAGAACAACCCCTTTATAAAGTCACTCACTACTGTTATGAAGAAGAAGTGATTGGACTATGAAAGTTGGAGTACAAGTAGGAAACCCTAACTTTGTGTACCCCCTAAAGGCTAACCCACTATAGCCTACACAATAATAACACATATAGTGTTTGACACACCCCTATCGGCAAAGTGGGGGAGAACAAGGGGTCACAAGACCAGTCAAGAAAGGCAAGCAAGCTCAGGGTGGATCACAACGTCGCCACACACTCCGAGCACAAGCAAAGGGCCACAAGGCCAGTTCGCATGCAGAAGTATATATAAGTAGTACAGACAGCAAGGGTGATCTCAACCTAGCAGAGCAAACAGGCAGGAGTATATATAGAGATCACAGTCCAGGCAAAGCCTACAACAAGTGAGACAAAGTGGGCACTAGCCCCAACTAAGTACAGAAGCGCTGATGATCACCAGGCTGAAGTGCCTTGGTGAAAATATCAGCGGTGTTGGCCTGAGAGGCCACGTAGCGCAGACGAAGCTGACCACGCTGCCGAACCTCACGAGCAAGGAAAAAACGGAGAGCGATGTGCTTCGTTCTGTGCTCCAGTCTGTGCTCCTCACACAAGGCAATGGCAGCCTTGTTGTCGACGTAAAGCACTGGAGGAGAACTAGGCCGCTCTCCAAGGTTGGTCAGCAGGTGGGTGAGCCAGCGTAACTCCTGTGCAGCCATGGCTGTGGCGTAGATCTCAGCCTCACAACTGGAGCTGAGAACCAAAGACGAACGAGTAGAGCGCCACGAAACTGAACCAGAGCCAAGGCTGAAGGTGTAACCCTGTGACGACCGCTGAGTAGCCTGGTCGTCAGCCCAAGAAGCGTCTGAGTGCCCAGTGAGAACAACTGAGCTTCCTCCTCCAAGCACGCGCCCCATGCCTCATGTACTGCATAAGTAGCACAATGCCCTCTTTGCAGCATCCCAGTGCACCTTTCGGTGACGACCAAGAGCCACGTAGCAAGCCAGAAGGCCAAGAGGGTATGCTAGGTTGGGACGAGTGCAAGTCATGAGGTACATGAGGCAACCAACTAGCTCTGGGCAAGGACCACTCGACTCTACAGACTCATCCGAAGGCAGAGCTGAGAGCGAGTGACCTATAGCCAGAGGAGTGGCCTGTGCTGAGGACCAGGTGAAGCCGAAGCGCTGAAGGACCTGCTGCACCATGTGTCACTGAGTCAGGGTAATGGTGCGGCGTGCTCTGTCCCGGGTGATCTGCAAGCCAAGGTAGCTGCGCAATTCACCCAGGTCTGTGCACGTGTGTCTCTTCTGCAGCTCCGACTTCACGTGGGCGAGAGACTCAGTGTCAGCTGTGGCAAAGACCAAGTCGTCGACATACACGAGGATGTAGAACGATGGCAGCGAAGTGTCGGTGCGTAGAAACAGCGACTGGTCAGTAGTAGAAGGAGAGAACCCAAGTGCCACAAGAATGGTCCTCAGTGTGTCGTGCCACTCACGTGGCGCCTGGCGGAGACCGTAGACTGGCCAGCGGAGGCTCCACTGGGTACCAGGAGGGAACGGCCCAGTGAAGCCAGGAGGGTGGCGCAGCCTGATCTCCTCGTGCAGAGTGCCCTGCAAGAAAGTTGTGGTGAAGTCAAGAGAGTGAAGCTCGTAGTCGCGCTGAGCAGCAACGTGAAGTAGTACTCGAAGAGTGGTCATCTTCCGGGTGGGGGAGAAGGTCTGGAAGAAGTCTACTCCCTCTCGCTGACTGAAGCCTTAAGCAACGTAACGAGCCTTGAAGACAGGCGGAGAACCCGGAGGCCGCTTCACCCTGAAAATCCACATGCCACTGAGGATGTTCGCCCCACGTGGGGGAGCCTCGTTGACCTAGGTGCCTGTGGACTTCCAGGAAGCCATCTCTGTGTCCATGGCTGACTACCAGTGTGAGGAGCAGGGACCCTCAATGGCCTCAGCGTACGATCGAGGAGTCGGGATGTCTGGTGCATCCGGGTCTCCCTCAGGGGCAACTAGCATGGACACGAGATGGGGCGCAGCGGCTGCAAGACACTCAAGATCCTCGTGTCTGTCCTGAAGGACGTCCGTGCCAAGAGCACGCTCACCCCCGACAGACGGAGGACAGACAGACTCAGACTCAGAGACAAGACTGGCAGCGTAGTCTAGACGACAGCGAGCAGCAAAGTCGACAAGCTGAGCAACTAGGGCAGACGCAGCAACAGACTCAAACGAAGGGTCAGACACAGCAGTGGACAGGAGACGCATGACAGTACGACTGGCAGCACGAAGAGAGTCAGACTCAGGGTCAGCAAGAGCAGGAAGAGAGGACTCAGGAGGAGACGGCAGAGGGACACACTGTGGAGCAGTGGAGCGACGCTGTGACATCCGGTGTGTGCCAGGGACTGGTGGCGGATGCTCACGCGGAGTACGGCAACTGGTGGAAGTAGTACGAACAAGGGACTCAGGACGGGACACAAGCGAGACGAGGCGAGACTCAGGCTGACAACGCTCTGTGAGACCACCTGTAGGACCAATGTAGGGAGAAGGACAAGGAAGTGGCGAGGCAAGCAGTAGCTGTGACTGCGACTGGACCGGCGGTGGACACTCTACAGAGGGAGGGGGACAAGGCGGAGGTGACTGACCAAGAAATTGCGAAAGGAGTGGAACAAAGTATAGCCGCGGCCGTGAGGTGCCCACTGTAGCAGCAGAGACAGCACCAGAACCTCCAGCAGCTCCGACAGCACCAGTAGTAACCCCAACGCCAGGGTCCGCAGCACCAGCACTAGCTCCAACGCCCTGGTCTGCAGCACCAGCAGCAGCTCCAACGCCCGGGTTCGCAGCACCAACAGCAGCTCCAACGCCCGGGTCTGCAGCACCAGCAGCAGCTCCAACGCCCGGGTCCGCAGCACCAGCAGCACCTCCAACGCCCGGGTCTGCAGCACCAGCAGCAACTCCAACTCCAGGGTCCGCAGCACCAGTAGCAGGGTCCGCGACACTAGGAGCGCCACTCCTGAGACTACAGCGTCGTGCGTACCACTCACGAAGACGGTGGAGAGAGGGCAGCTCCCGCGTGGGCGAGGAAGCACAAGCACCAGCTCTAGCAGCACCCCGAGCTCCAGAAGTACCTCTCCTGAGGCTGCAGTACTGTAAGTACCACTCACGCAGCTGCTGTGAGGAGAGAGCTCCTCCAGGCGTAGCACTCCCAGGCTCAACACCCCCAGACTCAGCACCCCTAGACTCAGCACAAGCAGGTTCCGTACTCCCAGGCTCAGCACCCCCAGACTCCGCACCCCCAGGCTCAGTACCCCCAGACTCTGCACCCCCAGGCTCAACACCCCCAGTCTCCGCAACCCCAGGCTCCGCACGCTCAGACTCAGCACCCCGAGCAGGACGAGAGTCGACCGCTACCTCGACAGGCTCAAACGGGTCTACCTAGGACACACCTGAGGGAGCGGCACCCTGAAGGGGGAGGGGGTCTACTGCAGCAGCACTAGGCGCGAGGAAGAGAGGCGGGGGACGGAGCGGGGCACTGCGGTAGGGGAAGAGGCGGTAGAAGGGTACCGACTCGTCAAAGGTGACGTCCTGAGAGGCGAGGACACGGCGTGAGGTAGGGTGGTAAAACTGCCAACCAGACGCGTCCCGAACAAAGCCTAGGAAGACACATGGAACAGCGCGGGAGGAGAGCTTGTCCGCGGACGTATCGCGACCAAAAGCTCGGGATCCCCAGACCCGAAAACGCGACGCATCGCTAACCTCTCCCGTCCAACGCCGTGTCGGGGAGGTCTGCGGCAAGGAGACACGGGGCCAGAGGTTGAGCTGATGCGCAGCGTATCGGACCGCAAACGGCCACAGAAAGTGGGGGGCAGTCGCATGGATCAAGGAGGTACGAGCGACCTCCATGACCAAGCCAATGCGGCGCTCAGCAACCCCGTTCTGTTGTGGCGAGGCCGGAAGCGTGAACGACTGGCGGATGCCGTGCTCCGCACAGTAGGCTGCCAAGAGGTTGGAG